CATTCCTGTGTGGATTTGCTTGGGAAGTACAGTAAATGAAATGCTTAAAGCAACATTAGGTTTTTAAATTTTAATAATAACAATAGGGCCCTGAAGCAGATACCCTGTGGGTAACTGTTGTGTTGGTCCCAGCCTGTGCCTAGCGATGCTGTGCGCCAGGAAGGTCTGGGGCAGCCTCCACAGGCATTCTCCCCACTGGAGCCAGTGTTGTGGCTGGACCCCACCCTCGTGGTTCTTACTGTGATTGTAGGGTGCACCTCAGCAAAAACCAGCAGGGAGCTTTGAAAAAAACAAGATTTAGTGCTTAAAAGTCCTGGACGGTACAGGACATGCCTGAGGGCCACACAGCGAGGTCTCCAGTAGAGAACGAGGGAGGGAACAGGGACCTGGGGCCCTGCCTTTGTTAGGGTCATAGGCGGGATGCCTGGGGTTTCATGGGTTCACTCTTCATAAAGGCGCCAGAAGGGGGAACGGGGTCACTCAGGTGGTCAGTTATCCACGTTCCCCGGGGCTTTCTAATAGGGGAACCTTGTGGGGGAGGAGCCTGGTCCCTCACCTAGTTGTTTTGCTGGAGCTGCGTCAGTCTGGCCGTAGGTGGATCCGTAGAGTTGGATGTCTTCGCAGCATATACCTTGACAGCTGGAAGGTTAGCATCAGGCACTTACCCTCAGTGACACTGTGAGCCCTGAGTAGATGGCAGTTCCTCCACATCATTCCTAAGCAGTGAGTTTCTTCACTGAACAAACAACAGAATAACTTCAGAACTAGATAGACCTGGACTTAAACCCTTACAGCTTACTATATAACAGGGCAAGTTTCTTCCCACCCACTCCCTGGCCTTGTTACCTTCTATCTAAAAATAGAGGTAAATAGTGCATCTCCTTCCCAGCTTGTTTAAAAGTCAAGAGAGGGGCTTCCCTGGTGGCACAGTGGTTGAGATTCAGGGGACATAGGTTCGTGCCCCGGTCCGGGAAGATCCCACATGCCGTGGAGCGGCTGGGCCTGTGAGCCATGGCCGCTGAGCCTGCGCGTCCGGAGCCTGCGCTCTGCAATGGGAGAGGCCACAACGGTGAGAAGCCCACATACGGCAAAAAAAATAAAAGTCAAGTGAGATTTCACGTATCAAGTGCCTGACACAGAACCTACTGTAGGAGGTTGAGGGAGAGGTTCGGCCACTGTGTCCTTTTCACCTCAGTTTGTCTATGCTTGTAGTCTCCATTTCCTCATTTTTCCATTTTTATTGGAACCCCTTAATTAAGCTTTTGTAGCCACCACTCAACTAAAAGCCCTTGTCACCGATGACCTTTAAGTTGCTAAGACACATAGTGCCTGTACTGGGCCCTCATGTAGTCAACTTTTCTGCAGTGTTCGATACAGATGATCCCTTCGTTTCTTGTCACACTTCTTATTTGGGGTAGAAGCCCCTGACCTTCCCTGGTTTTCCTCCGAGTTAACTGGCCATGACTTCAGTGTCCTGAGTTGAATCCCTCGTAGCCTCACAAACTAAATATTGACCCAGGTCCCTGTCCTTGGGCCTCTTCTCTTTTCTATTTACACGAATTCCTGAGTTGATGTCATTCAGTCCTGTGGTTTTAAATACCATTTAAATGCTCATAACTTCCAAATTTATATTCTCAATACTTGTCGCTAGAACTCCAGACTTGCATTATCAAACTTGGGTTTCTCAGAGTATCTACTTGAATGTCTTACATGCGTCTCCAACTTAGGTCCCAAAGCAGAGTCCAGCTTTTCTCCTAAAACTTGCTTCTCCTGCAAGCTCTGTGTGTCTGTCAGTGATATCACCACTTGCCCCGTCGCTAGTGTCAGAAACCCTGCCGACGGTTTCGCATTCCACATCCAGCTCATCAGCAGGATATACTTAAGAGTCTAATGGCTTGCACTGCTGCCCCCAGCACCTCTAGCTCGAGCCACCACCATCTCAGCTCTGCCATCATGACAGCCTCCCAGGTGGTCTCTGTGCTCAGTCTGTTCAGCGTACAGCCGCCAGGTTAATCAACAGTAATTGACGGCACACTCCAGGTCAGACATCTACTGGTGGTGGAGCCAGTGCTAAAACTCAGACCTTGTCTTCCAGTTATGCCACAGTCCTTATTCCAGATGCATGGAATGTGTCTGGTGAAAAAAACTTTGTCAACTCTATCAAGTTTACAAGCATCTAGAAACATGTGGGCAGATTGTCACCAAATGCTGTGTTGATCAGGTTCAGAGAAGACAAGATAACTGACATCTCTCCCTCTTGCTCCATGGTGGTGTAACTGTTCCTGACTCATTTTATTAGAATTTCTTAAAAAAAAAAATTGTGCTTAATTTATACCTTTTAAACACCTGACCCCTCGTACTCATACTCTTATTTTCTGAAGCTATTGTAAAAGTCAGCATACAGTTATGTCAAACAGTTTTATCTTTTTCATTAATTGATACTGGATTTTATTTAATATTTTATCCATTGGCTAGAATTTTTGCAGCAGTGTTCCAGTTTTTGTTAAACATGCCTCTGTGTTCCATCAACAAGGATGACCCATGCATATAGGTTTATGATTCACTTTCTAATCATGATAAGGAGCTGTCATACACCTAGTTTTCATTTAAAATGGGTCATTTTAATAAAATTTAAAATTTTATTGAACTTTATTGACCATCTATTGATTATACTTTATTTGAAATTTTTTTTACATTTTTAATAGTATTTTTTAATATTTAATAATCCTTGCATTCCTCAGACAAACTCTACCTTGCCAAAGCGAACTATATGCTTGAAAAAATTGCACCTTTCACCAAGAAAATATGTAAAACAACTGAGCATGTTGTTGTAGGGGACTGATAGAATTTGCCAGGCACCTTTACTGTTTAAAAGGACAGAGTTTATTTTGTTGATAGCTTTGCTTTATTTTATAGATTCTGTGGTAGAATACATTATTTAATAGTGTTCTTTTTGAATCACCTTCTTATAAAGTAAGTCCTTTATGCTTGCACAACTTACTTTTCATTATAGCATTATAATCATGCTTTGAAATTTTGTTTTTCTTTGGATGTTCTTGCTGTCTGTCAGTTATTGTTTCTGAGATAATAAATGAGGAAACTATAAATGTTATCATAGAAAACATTGCCTAATAGATATAAATTATTTTCTTTTCCAGAGATTCCAGATATTTTAAATGCAGGTAATCTGAAAACTTTTAGGTGAGTCTGTCTCTTTTATTCTTTGAAGCTGCAAGTAAAATACATAAGAGAGAAACTTTCTTCCCTTTTGAGTCTAGACGTTAGAGCTAAAAGAAAATTAGGGGGTTCTTTTTAACCTTTCCTCTTTCATCAGTTGAAGTAAGAATTTTCCTAAGTTTAGCATTTGTTTGAGATGCCTGATGTACACTGAAATGAAAATGACCTGGTGCTTTTATTTGTTTTTCAAAATACTTTAAAATTCTTTAATATAGTACTTAAAGAACATGATATCCTTGTTCCTCCCTGGTTGTTATTTTTTAAAAAGATAAATTGTCAGCAGCAGACTTGTTGGCTGAGTCCTGTCCCCATACTGTTTGCAGCACCCCCTTCTGGAGAAGGTGGCTAGTGGGAAGTGGTTTGGGGAAATGGTTAAATCATAACCAGTTGCCCCAGTGGTCTCTCTAATAGTGCTGTGTGACCGAGAGACCAGTGAGTAGGATTTCCTGTTTTCAGTTTTCAAACATGGGTTGTCTTTAGAACATAATTTTTATTAATCATTTTGGTACTAGCTAGACCATGTTGATCAGTCTGAAATTTTAATTGAAATTAGATACATTTAAGTCCATATTATTTGAAACCCTTAAGCTTATATTTTTATACTTTTGAATTCATAGAAAATATTTAATATTCATAAAATATTCGCTCTAATAGAATTGATCATATTTAAGAAGTGGTTCACTTTGTAGCCTATGTACATGTATTTATAAGTACGTGGAGCTTAAGATTGATTATACATTAATTTCTTTTGCCTGTAATGTTAAGTAATCAGATATATAAATGTTCTCTTTATTCCTAAAACAGTGTATGTTCTGCCTCCCCCAAAGAAAGCCAGAAATGAGAAGAAATTAGCCTAGACTGTTAGTATCAGAGTTCAGTTCTCAGAAGAATCTTCACATTGCTCGTAAAGTAATTGAACATAGGATTGTCACAGAAAAGCTGGGGTTGAAGAACTGAAAGTTTTCTATTATAACCAAAAATATTGTTTGATTACTACAACAATTGTGATTTGCCATTATGTGTGAAAAGAAAAACCTTTTCTGACTGTGCATTTTGGAGATTTCCCAGGATGATGTAGTTCCTACTTCAGAGATTCTTGATACCATATATGTCCTAATAGAGGGAAGTGTTTGGGTCAGGGAGAATAAAAGAATGGAACAGAGTTTCCTTGTGACTTCTGCCTAATATTTTCCTGCATTGCTTTGGAAATTTTGAATTCTCTATGCAGTTAACTGCTATTGTAGATTAATGAGAAAGTGCAGTAAGTATGGAAAAAGCAAACCTCAGTTCTTGGGACATTTTTTTTTCTACTGCATTTATATTGTTTCCTTCTAGTGCATTTGAATCTGCTGTAAATTTGTAAACTTTCTTCTGCTTAGTTTTGAATATTGACTTTATTACTTCCCTACCTCACCCCTCACCCACCCTCTGCGTTCTCTCTTTTGTCTAGGGAATGGGATTTTGATCTGAAGAAATTGCCGAACATTAAAATGAGAAAAATCTGTGCTAATGATGCAGTGCCTAAGAAGTGTAAGAAGAAAACTGTGACAGCTGTAGACAGAGATTTAGGAGAATTGGAACTGAAAGATGAATCAAGTGACACAGATGAGGAAATGACTGCAGTGGCCTAATTGTCTTTACTTGAGTTGAAAATAAATAATTTGAGAACTTCAAGTTACACTTGAATTGATTATGGTAAATAATTGTCTCTACACAACAATTTGCTGTTTAGCTTATTCTCTTATATGATGAGAATCCCATTTTCAGTTTCAAAAACAGTGTTATGATTTTAACTTAAAAATGAATGTTGCTTTATGTTTACATAAATATGTTCAGACCCTGCTTAAAAACCCAGACGGTTATAAAATCTTAAGAACTCGGGCTTCCCTGGCAGCGCAGTGGTTAGGAATCTGCCTGCCAATGCAGGGGACACGGGTTGGATTCCTGGCCCGGGAGGATCCCACATGCCACAGAGCAGCTAAGCCCATGAGCTACAACTACTGAAGCCCGCGCACCTGGAGCCCATGCTCTGCAACAAGAGAAGCCACGGCAATGAGAAGCCCACGCACCGCAACGAAGAGTAGCCCCTGCTCACCGCAACTAGAGAAAGCCCGCACACAGCAACGAAGACCCTGCGCAGCCAAAAATAAAACAAGTAAATAAATTTATATATTATAAAAAATAATCTTAAGAACTCAAGGCTGTTTGAATGTTGCAGATACAAATCTGCAGAAATCCAGGTAAGTTAGGCAAAAAATTTAGAAACCACAACAAAGGTTTGGATGACTTGTTTAATATACAAAGTCTGTCTTTCACAGGTAATTATTTTCTTTTCCTTAATTTGTCTTAGTACACATTATTCACAAAACAGTAAATCGTTCATGCAAGAGAATTAGGTAGAACGGAAAAAAGTACAAATGCTCAATCCCCCAAATTGCACACAGTTAAAATAATTTTTCCTTGTTTGTTTTAATGCAGTTTCAAATGGGCTTTCTTCAGATGTGGAGGAAACACTGCAGCCCAAAATAACAGTACTTCCTTTCAACTGTATTGACAGGTAAAATAGCACCTTTGGGCTGACGTAAGGAAAGAAAACTGTCATCTTTCTTAATTAAAGTGTAAGTCCTACACAGTTATCGTATGACAACTACAATAATGATAATGATGAGTTTTAAGAGCTCTACTTTGTTCCAAAATACTCATTGGCATGGCAAGGAAAGTAAATTGTGTCAGGCAGATGCAAAAACCTTCCTCCCCACCTCTCCTCCATGACAATTAGAGTATCTTAGTGATGTCATTGCTCTAATGAGCTAGTTTTCCAGCCCAAATAAGTAGATGTTTTAGGGACCTTTTGCAAAACAAGGTAAGTGTGACTATGTGGCCATCTCTCTGGAACTATAATCACATGTAACAACAGCTCGGAGTGAGAATAGTTAGTTTTAGGGACCTTTTGCAAAACAAGATAAATGTAACTATGTGGCCATCTTTGGGACTATAATCACATGTAACAAGCTCTGAGTGAGATTTAATCCTAGGGCATTTTGAAAGACTCCAGAGTATATACCTGTCTTCCTTTTATTTCTCCATTGCTTTATATCCCAAGTCGATGGGAACATTTTTGTTTTGTCTGTTTACATTTTGTTTGTACTTAAGTTTAATTGCCCTTTGGGCTTCACTTAAAAAAAAAATACTGGATTTCATTTCTTTACAATTTAATCTTTGATTTTACACAATTAGAGTGACAGTTCTTTAAAATATCAACAGCATAAATGTATGTTTCCTGGTATTGATAATACCACAGATTCATGATGATAAAAAGCCAAGGTTTTAGCAGAACTGTAAGTTTATTCTTCAATTTCATTCTTTGTTTCAATTCCATTTTATTTCTTACATAAGCAGGTGAGCATGCTTCAAAAAATTGCCATTCCGTAGAGCAGTTTTTCTTTTTGAAGGGTATATCCAGTCCACAAAAGTGTTGCCACAAGCCAAACCCGGTCATCGAAAGGACAAGTGTACCATTACCACACAGAACATAAAAGAAAATAATCAACATTAGGTTTTAAATGCACTTAGTTACTTCAGATTGTTTAACTACCAACAGCCATTAAGGGAAAACTTTTAAAGATTTAAATTCAGGAGTTCAGTGTTTAAAAAAGAATAGCAGAATAATGTTGACTTTTAATGTGTTAGGGAGCTATATTATTTTCTCATTTCAAGAAAGTCAAAGCCTATTCAAGTTCATTTTGAGAATTTACGTACGGTTTTAAAACACCATGTCATTTTTTATCATTAATACAGTAATGCTTATCCTTACTTTTCGTTCTAGAATTTCTTAGTGTTCAGTATGCCCCTTAATAAATTATTATTTATTAAGCCAATCGTCTTCCACTGTGAAATTATGCACTTACCTATATTGCTAAAGTTTGGACAGAATTTAAATGGTATTTATGGTATAATTCAGGTAAATAATCCTTTTCCTTACAGAGCAAACAAAAGATAAATCAACATTTCTTTGTTTGCTGGTGGCTAGATTTTGTCCCCTCAGGAATATTTGTAAACAACTGTTGCCATTGCTAAACCTCAGGAGAAATGGATTAGTAAAATGCTTAGGGAAATTATCAGAAAAGAATGAATCACGTTTAATCCTTTGGGTGAGGTGCCATGGTTAAATCCCCTAAAGCTTCATTATCCATGAGTGTATTTATCTTAAACCTTGAAAATGGAGATTTAAGGAGTTAATACAAAGTCCAGGTTGTTTAAGCTTCATATATTTTTAATTACACCACTGTGTCTTTATTTGTGCAGAAATTTTGGTCCAGTTTAGTTGCCTCAACTTACTTTTTCCTGTGCCTTCATTCCACGCTCCTACAGCAAGTTTTAAGAAAGATGGGTTTTAAACCTTTTGTTTCCTGCCTGACTGAATACCTTGACGTTTTTCTCATGTATATACAGGAACAAACACATGCCACACACACACAAAGTTGATACTGTTGACCTTTGCTTTATTTCTAGGAACTGGGACCATTTGGACTCAGTGTCAGCCACTACTCATGTCGAATCAAACTTCTCCTCAGTAAAAGGTTATTTCTCTTTTCTTTCCCTCCTGTGAGTTTTGAAAAAGCCCACTGACAATTACAAAGTGCATCAATGTGATACCCAGATTTGTGCAATACGATACCCATGCTTTGGTTCTATGGCCATCACGGTTGCCTTTTCACAATAATAAATACGACAGCTAGCAAAAATAAATCACCTCGTCTTATGTAAGACATCTCTCTTTGACAGGCCACACTATATTTATAATCATTAATCTAGCTCATTGCTATGTCATTCACACTTCAGTTTTACATGAATATGCAAAGAATACAATAATCAACTGAACTGTCAAACCTAAACAATTCAATTTATTACTTATCACAGAATCTGTTGAATATTTTTGCCTCCCAGCTGAGCAAGGGAAATACTGTCAGCTTTTTAAAATACAGTCTAATGCTTGGTCATAACTACTCACCTGTCAAGTTGACACCTCATTAAAAAAAAAGGTACGTTTGACTTAACAAAGATATTAAATTTTTATTTTCCCTATTATAAGTGCTTCATAGTAGCAAATAAGTTAATTTCAGAACTTACCACAGGCAGATTGCTTTATAGTTTTGTTTTTTCACCCTTTAGAGAAATGGTAACTTCACCTAACTCTTAACCAAGATATTTAATTTGATTAATTTAGTGCTTTGTAAAATAGTATTTGTGATACTTTGAATAAAAGAGTGAATTAAGCTGCTGTTTTGAAAGACTCAATTGTTAAATGAAGCAGAGGCTTTGTCTCTAATTTTAGGGCTGCACTAGCCAATAAGTTTAATTCAAATTGAGCTATGCTGTAAACATACTGGATTTTGAAGACTTGGTTCATAAAAAGAGCTATAAAATAACTCAATACTTTTTTGTATTGATGACATTGAAATGATAACTTGGGTATATAGTGTTAATATATTATCAAAATCCATTTCACCTATTCTTACTTTTTCTAATGGGGCTACTAGAAAATTTAAATTTGCATATGTGGCCTTCATTTGTGGCTCACATTATATTTCTGTTGGACAACACTGTTTTAGAGGGTCCAGGTGGAGTATACAAGGCTTCTGTGGGTATGTAACAGAGGTAATTAAACCCAAAAATCTCTGAAAATCATGATTTAAACATAATTCCAAGTATTAATATCTTCAAATGTGTATTGCATCTATTTTAAAAACATGCATCTGTCAAAACAACTGGACTCTACTATAGCCGTGAAAACCTGTTAGCCGTCAAAGTATGAATCTCAAAATATGCATCTTCTGAGTTTGCTTCTGATGTGCCTTAGGGATAATGCAGATAATTTCAAGCTTAAAACCAAATGTGTTTGTCATTTCCAGATGAGAGAGTTAACATTACAAGGCCCTAGAAGAAAGACACGTTGCAATTCAAGTCCGTATTCTTGACCTTGCCCTGTTACTGTGAAGACTCGTGGGTCTGTCCAGTTAGTCTCTCCTCATTGCCTGAAGGCATCCCTTGCTCCACCGGTCCTTGTCTCACAAATCATTCTCCAGCCAACTTTTCACATTTCTCTTCACACTTAAGACTGCTTCATGGGATCCTGATCATTTGGTGTTTCTTTTCCTTTCCTTTTTGAGCAAAGAAAGGACAAATGAGTCAGAAAGAGGAGAGAAGATAAAGAGGGTGACTAACTCAGGATCACTTCTGTCACTTGTAGTGGCTGAGGGCCAGGCAATACTCCAGTGACACGCTCCCGGCTGGCCCCATCACACAGGTATGACTTCGGGGGGGCCGCCCTCCGAAGGTGGCAGTGCATTGGTCCCCGTTTGTAAGGCAGGCACTGCCCCGGCGTCCTTGGCATCCGTGTTCACCGTGCAGGAGCAGTTCTTCTCCAGCCTCTTGGCCGTGTCGGGGCAGTTCTGCACAAAGATCACACGGTTGTAGGCCTTCAGCCTGCGCCACAGCTGAACGTAGACCTTGCACTGTACGTACATGAAGACCAAACCTCCCGTGAAGCCGATGGCCACCACAACCAGTTTTGTCCAAAATGGCCATTCAAGGACACCTTTGAAATAAAAGAGAGAACATTACCACCAAGTCTTTATCGATGGATTTGGTGATTCTCTTCCTATGGTTCCTTCAAAGGATCATGCCAGCCTGTTAATATTTCATAGATCAGGAATATATTCTTAACTAGTAAAAATTATAACCTGTTGCTTAACTGCTTTAAATATTCTCGAGGTATTGCCAAAATTGTATATGAAAAAATTCTCTCCCCTACCACTGTAATGATGTCTCTCATCTCTCTTAGCCATCAAGAAGCTACTGTGATCATCAGATACTTACTTCGACATTTATTCCTTACAGCTAAATCTTTAAGGAAGTGAAAGAATCAGACTTTTAGGATCCTCTTAAGGTAATGTAATAGGTACATGTGTGGGATTGTACCCATGGGTTCCCTCCCCACCCTCATTACCTTTAAAATTAAAAAAAGAGAGAGAGAAAGACACTGCCACATCTCAGAATTCCTGAGTACAGACATGCATAAGATTTAGGATTTCAGTTACTCGCTTTATCAATCTTATATTTTGTTACTGAGAACCATCTCTTTCTTAGACATCAATATTTTCTCTTAATTTCCATCACCATAACTAGAAATGGACTTCTTTCACAAAGAGTTTTAAAAACTATGCCACGAGCATTTCTGTAACTACAACAGTATTTACGCCACATAATTATAAATGTTAAATATATGATGGTCAAGAGACCACCTCTTGCCAACATTAGGATGGTATGGAGGATGTGATAGCTGCCTTCATTCATGTGAGAGGCTGTCAAGTAAAAGAGAAGGGTGAGCTGGAAACCACACTTAAGGGAAATCGGGTTTTACTTACTTGTAACAGTGAATAGAGTTATAAGAAACATCCTGTCTATATTTTGTAAGAGTGACATTTATGAATACTTTATGCTTCTGGAAGCAAAATGGACCCCTGCCCCGTTTGCCTCACGTTGAAGGGCTTGCCTTGCTCCTTAATCCTGTCTATGCCTGACTCACTGAGCTGGGGGGACCAGCACCTTACAACTGGGGGTAGTTGTGTGCCCCGGGCCACTGAGCAGTGTCTGGAGATGTTGATCGTTATACCTGGTGTTGGGCGGGTGCTACTGACTTAGTAAGTCCTGTGATGCTGCTTTGCCAGCATCCTGCAATGTGTAGGACAGCAAGGAGTTAACCTAGTCCAAAATGCCAATGGTGCTGAGGTTGAGAAACCCTGTTGGAGAAGATGATCACGTTTCTTTATTTAGAAATTTGCAGGGAAGACTCAGTATACGAATAAGACATCTTGGAGTTCTCCAAATTTAGAAGGATTTTTGCTCTCAGCTGTTCAATTGAGCAGTAGTGTCTCCTTGTTTAGAAGGATGTTAACCACAGATGAGCTGAAGTGTGTTTTGGCTCCCATTTTTAGGGAAATCCCCACAGATTACATCTCATTTTCCTCTGATTCCTAAATGACACTCTACCACCTGTGCCCTGGGAGTGCCTGGAGATTCTCTCCTTCCAAGCCTCTGCCCCTGATATTTCTTCTCTCAGAACTTTGCTTCTCCATTGAGTGTCTACCTGTCCCACAAAACCTGACTCAGAAATAATTTCCAGCTCGGAATACACGTTCTCACTCTTTCAGTTTCATGTTATTTTTACACTTGTGGCATGAGTCGCTCTCTGACATAAGTTATTTGTTCTCTGCTGTGCCATAACCTTGACAGTGCAGGATCTACATCTGGTTGGTCTTTGTTTTCTGCCCTGCCTTGCTCGGTGGACATTTTAAGGATGAAGGAAAGCTTTTAATAGATATAAAGCTTTGATATATGTCTTTCTCTGTCTGACTTCACTCGGTATGACAACCTCTAGGTCCATTCACGTTGCTGTAAATGGCATTATTTAAATCTTTTTTACGGCTAATATTCTATTGTATATATGTACCACATCTTCTTTATCCATTCCTCTGTTGACAGACATTTAGGTTGCTTCCATGTCTTGGCTATTGTAAATACTGCTGCTGTGAACATTGGGGTGCACGTGTCTTTTCGAATTATGGTTTTCGCTGGATATATGTCCAGGAGTGGGATTGCTGGATCATATGGTAGTTCTATATTTAGTTTTCTAAGGATCCTCCATACCGTTCTCCATGATGGTTGTAACAATTTACATTCCCACCAACAGTGCAAGAGGGTTTCTTTTCTTCACACCATCGCCAGCATTTGTTGTTTGTAGACTTTTTGATGACGTCCATTCTGACTGGTGTGAGGTGATACCTGTGTAGTTTTGATTTGCATTTCTCTAATGATCAGTGATGTTGAGCGTTCTTTCATGTGTTTGTTGGCAATCTGTATATCTTCTTCGGAGAAATTTCTATTTAGGTCTCCTGCCAATTTTGGATTGGGTTGTATGTTTTTTTGATATTGAGCTGAATGGGCTGCTTGTAAATTTTGAAGATTAATCTTTTGTCTGTTGCTTCATTTGCAAATGTTTTCTCCCATTCTGAGGGCTGTCTTTTTAGTCTTGTTTACGGTTTCCTTTACTGTGCAAAAGCTTTTGATTACTGTCTCATCTGTTTATTTTTGTTTCATTTCCATTTGTATAGGAGGTAGGTCAAAAAGGATCTTGCTGTGATTTATGTCACAGAGTGTTCTGCCTATGTTTTCCTCTAACAGTTTTATACTGTCTGGCCTTATATTTAGGTCTTTAATCCATTTTGAGTTTATTTTTGTGAATGGAGTTAGGGAGTGTTCTAATTTCATTCTTTCACATGTAGGTGTCCAGTTTTCCCAGCACCACTTATTGGAGGCTGTATTTTCTGCACTGTATATTCTTGACTCCTTTATCAAAGATAAGGTGACCATATGTGCCTGGGTTTATCTCTGGGCTTTGTATCCTGTTGCATTGACCTACATTTCTGTTTTTGTGCCAGTACCATTACTGTCTTGATGACTGTAGCTTTGTAGTATAGTCTGAAGTCCAGGAGCCTGATTCCTCCAGCTCCATTTTTCTTTCTCAAGATTGCTTTGGCTATTCGGGGTCTTCTGTGTTTCCATAAAAATTGTGAACTTTTTTTGTTCTAGTTCTGTGAAAAATGCCAGTGGTAGTTTGATAGGGATTGCATTGAATCTGTAGATTGCTTTGGGTAGTAGAGTCATTTTCACAATGTTGATTCTTCCAATCCAAGAACATGGTATATCTCTCCATCTATTTGTATCATCTTTAATTTCGTTCATCAGTGTCTTGTAGTTTTCTGCATATAGGATTTTTTTCTCCTTAGGTAGGTTTATTCCTAGATATTTTATTCTTTTTGTTGCAGTAATAAATGGGAGTGATTCCTTTATTTCTCTTTCAGATTTTTCATCATTACTGTATAGGAATGCAAGATTTCTGTGCATTAATTTTGTATCCTGCTACTTTACCAAATTCATTGATTAGCTCTAGTAGTTTTCTGGTAGCATCTTTAGGATTCTCTATGTATAGTATCATGTCATCTGCAAACAGTGACAGCTTTACTTCTTCTTTTCTGATTTGGATTCCTTTTATTTCCTTCTCTTGTCTGACTGCTGTGGCTAAAACTTCCAAAACTATGTGGAATAATAGTGGGGAGAATGGGCAGCCTTGTCTTGGTCCTGATCTTAGTGGAAATGGTTTCAGTTTTTCACCACTGAGAACGATGTTGGCGGTGGGTTTGTCATATATGGCCTTTATTATGTTGAGGTAAGTTCCCTCTATGCCTACTTTCTGGAGGGTTTTTTATCATAAAACTGTGTTGCATTTTGTCAAAAGCCTTTTTCTATTGAAATGATCATATGGTTTTTCACCTTCATTTGTTAATATGGTGTATCACATTGATTGATTTGCATATATTGAAGAATCTTTGCATTCCTGGGATAAACCCCACTTGATCATGGTGTATGATCCTTTTAATGTGCTGTTGGATTCTGTTTGCTACTATTTTGTTGAGGATTTTTGCATCTGTGTTCATCAGTGATATTGGCCTGTAGTTTTCTTTCTTTGTGACATCTTTGTCTGGTTTTGGTATCAGGGTTATGGTGGACTCGTAGAATGAGTTTGGGGGTGTTCCTCCCTCTGGTATATTTTGGAAGAGTTTGAGAAGGATAGGTGTTAGCTCTTCTCTAAATGTTTGATAGAATTCGCCTGTGAAGCCATCAGGTCCTGGGCTTTTGTTTGTTGGAAGATTTTTAATCACAGTTTCAATTTCAGTGCTTGTGATTGGTCTGTTCATTATTTTCTATTTCTTCCTGATTCAGTCTTGGCAGGTTGTGCCTTTCTAAGAATTTGTCCATTTCTTCCAGGTTGTCCATTTTATTGGCATAGAGTTGCTTGTAGTAATCCCTCATGATCCTTTGTATTTCTGCAGTGTCGGCTGTTACTTCTCCCTTTTCATTTCTAGTTCTATTGATCTGAGTCCTCTCCCTTTTTTTCTTGATGAGTCTGGCTAATGGTTTATCAATTTTGTTTATCTTCTCAAAGAACCAGCTTTTAGTTTTATTGATCTTTGCTATCGTTTCCTTCATTTCTTTTTCATTTATTTCTGATCTGATTTTTATGATTTCTTTCCTTCTGCTAACTTTGGGGTTTTTTTGTTCTTCTTTCTCTAATTGCTTTAGGTGCAAGGTTAGGTTGTTTATTCGAGATGTTTCCTGTTTCTTAAGGTAGGATTGTACTGCTATAAACTTCCCTCTTAAAACTGCTTTTGCTGCATCCCATAGGTTTTGGGTTGTCGTGTCTCCATTGTCATTTGTTTCTAGGTATTTTTTGATTTCCTCTTTGATTTCTTCAGTGATCACTTCGTTATTAAGTAGTGTATTGTTTAGCCTCCATGTGTTTGTATTTTTTACAGATCTTTTCCTGTAATTGATATCTAGTCTCATGGCGTTGTGGTCGGAAAAGATACTTGATACAATTTCAATTTTCTTAAATTTACCAAGGCTTGATTTGTGACCCAAGATATGATCTATCCTGGAGAATGTTCCATGAGCACTTGAGAAAAATGTGTATTCTGT